TTCAAATTTAAGTTCAGGACAAGCATACCTTTTGAATGATATTAAAAAAATCCGTCAAAAGTGGCTAGTTAAAAAGTCGAAATTTGTCTGAAGAAAAAAAAAACCCAACCCGAGCACAAATATTCCGTTACTTTCGTATCGAAAGTCGGAACAATAAATTTCAAAGTTTGCAAACCTTCAATTAATTGCAATTAATTGGCGGATTTTGTCACTAGTCAAAAATTGGAAAAACAAAGAAGTTAATTAATTGCATCCAATTATTTGCAATTAATTTAGTCACCGATCGACTTTTACCAAGCCCTGCATAAAATGTCAATACCTTATCAAAACAATTAGGTTAAATGAGCTTAAAATGTCAAATCCGAATATTACAGGAGAGTTTTGAACTGAATAAGTTATGCATGATTGACATGTAAAAAAATTGATTTGAGTATGTCGGAAAATCCATCGAAGTCGATTTAAATCAATTTTTTAGACACTTAAACTGATTTAAAATTTTCAAAAAGATCGATTGAAATCGATTTAACACGGATTTAAGTGAGATTCTGATGGATTTAAGTGAGATTCGGATGGATTTTAGTGAGTCGGAAAATCCATCGAAATCGATTTAAATTGATTTTTTAGACACTTAAATTGATTTAAGATGTTCAATCAGTTTAAGTCGACCAAAAAAACCATTTCTGTCAGTGCGGGTAACCATTGATGTTCAATTTATTAACAAAAATTTTCTCTCCTATTGATGAGATTAATTAAACCTTTGAAGTTTTCAACTTCAACATTTACCAAGAAATTACGAAAATAAAAAAACTGATACAATTAATGATTGAAAATGCTTACACCCGGATGAATTGAATCAAATTTTAAAAATAAAAGATTTTACATTATCAAAATTACCTGTTTTATTTGCAAACTGTGAAAACCATGATGAAATAATTGCCAAAGTTGGTTAAATCTGGTTGATTTGTTATCCAGAAATGAAAAAGTTTTGTTGACCGCAACAATTTGCATGCTATCAAGTTGAACCATATTAATGGCTTTTGCTCAATGGATTTCAATCAATTCAGATAGCCCATGACTGCCCTTCACTTGCTTATGAAAAACTCTCAACAATTGTGAGCTGGTATGTAAAACTTTATTAAAACAAACTTATAGCTACTTCATAAATCATCCGTATTTTTAACTCACAAGTGGACAATTAAATACAAACTCAGTTTTTTCCAAATTACTTGCAGTATATCTATTATCAAGTTCAACTATAATATCTATAATGTCAACTAAAAAGAATTGACACGTAAAATTACAAAAATATGTAGGGCAGAATAGAGATATGTCTTTTTCAATTTCTATGATGTAGGTTTCCCGATACTTTTAGTTGCCTAAGGGGAATTGATCCTTCGCGAGCTTTTATTGAAATAAGTTTACGCCAGAGTTTTTACCGGTCAATTCAAGTGATGTCTGAACCCGAATATGCTAATAATTTCTGCAAAGTTTCCACGATTTTTTTTCCACAAGTTCATTTTCCGCTTTTTAAATTAAATTTATTTTATCTGGTACGGTTGTTTGTTGACTTGCATGGGTTATTGTTTGCATGAAACATCTTTTATTATAATTGAAAATTCTGTAGTTTTTTTTACCAACTCGATTTGTTAAATTTTATTTGTTTTCCTTTTTTCGGCGTAATATATCATTCAAGTGATGTAACTTTTGTCGGCACATCAGCAAACGTAAGTGGTCTCCACAAACTTGTAAATTGATTCTTCAAAAGTAAGGGTATTCTGCAATTTTATATATTATACACTGAACAAAAGCAATTTTTGCGAGAAAAAGTAAATGCTACAGTATAGCAAAAGTACACACTATAACAAATGCGGAACTTAAAAGCAAAGGTTTTTGTCCATGGATTCCAATGATAAATCTTAAATCATTGATCAACAAAAACCGAGGAAGTACCCCAATGGTGTCTATGATATAATTTCCAGTTAGTTGTTTTTTTTTTCATTTCCCAGCAAGCCATTTTTTGCACCATGTATTTGGAAACACAATTTTTTCAAACTGATTAAGCCAAATTGGTTATTTAGATTAGCATGCTTTGGTTATTTGCGTGACTTGGTTATATTTATATATTATAAAATTGAGTGGCATTTGCGATGAGGATCCTTGAGATTGAGTTAATTTTAATTGCTGATACGATGACTTTAATTGCAGTTGCTGATGGTGACTGTTATATTAAAATGGCGATATTCATTTGAATTAAGTATACGTTGACTTTCACGCTGATTGCTGAAACTCAGAGATTTTTTCTCAACAATGCTCTGGTGGTTTTCAACCTAATTCAACTTTTCAATCTAAAACCTAATATGAGGAAATTTATTGAAGATATGAAAAAATATATGTTTCTGAATTTGGCTAAAAAAATTGCGGAATTCACATAAAATTTGTGAATTCCGGTTTCAAATGCGGATTTCGAATACAATTTTCACCTCACGACAGAGCTATTTTACTATTCACATGTATTTTTATTGGTATATGAATTCAACAATAAACTCCAGATTTCCGCAATACCGGCTGATTTTAGGGCGATTTTCAGAAATACAGTGTTTTAGATATTTGTTCGTGGAATTCAAAACAGCAAAATGTAAAAAAAAACGTAACAATTTTTGCACCACACCCATACCAGTAATCTGTTTAAATCAGATCTGAAATAATCTTTTTCAGATCTAAATTTCAGGTCTGAAATAGATTGTGAAATGTTTAAATAACGCTTGGATACTTTAGGGGTTGGTTGTTTTAGATCTAATTTCATTTCTGAAATTTTGTTATTCTTGGTTGTTTCAGATCTAAAAAAACCTATTTCAGGTCTAAATGCAGATCTGCAATTTAATTTTTCTTGGTTATTTCAGATCTGAAAAATCAATGACTACGGCACAGTTTTTGCTATTTTTGATTTTTTTTTGAATTCGATAGCTTCTGTTAGCTACTTGCTGGTACTCAGCAAAGTCTCAAGTTAGAGACTGCCAGAATATGTATCCTAAAGCATGAGGAAAACACTAGAAACGCATAAGTAGCGCATGAAAATCAAATATTTGACAGGTGTTCTGACAGTTTTTGAAAACTTTTTAACACAGTTGAACAAGAATTTTAGTTCGAAAAAAAAACTGAAATTATTTGGGAGTGGTTTTTACCGCTAATTAAGCTACCATTATTGGTTAATGCAGAAAATCAAAAAAAAAACTCAATTTTTTGCTCGAAATGTATAAATTATAATTTAACAAAGGGTTTCTCAGACCTGATTTTAGATCTGAAATTTTGTTTTTCAAGGCCATTTCAGATCTGAAATTCTTTATTTCAGATCTCAACTTCAGATTTGAGATTCGTAATTTCTGATCAGGATCTGAAACAAAGATTTTCAGATCTTTTCAGATCTTGCACAGAAAATTCCCTGAGTACGGGCATCTATTTTCAAAAGGTTTTTAAAAGTTTTAACAAGACTGCTCTTATCAGGGCGAAGCCCTGAAAGTTCCGACTGCCTTTTAACGTTTATGGAGCAGTCATAACATAAACAACATAAAAAATTTAAATGAAAAAAAAATAAAATGAAAAAAAAAAATTTTTTTCTAAAATTTGAAAATTTTTCTATGAAAATCATCACCCCACACGCCATATAAAGTACAAAACAATAGATTTCTCTCCTTGTAACAAATCAATTATGGCAAATAACCTTCTTACAACCAATTTTGAACGATTTCTCGGACGGATTAAATCTCTCTCCGCTTACGCGTTAATAGCAGAATTATATCGCGCGTTTATTGTCCCAAATTGGTCAAAATGCCCAAAATGGCAATTTTTAAACCCCCATAACTTTACGAAAAATGATCACAGGTGAAATATCTTTTCAAATTTAAGCTCAAGACAACAATACCTTTTGAATGATATAAAAAATTTCCGTCGAAAATGGCTAGTTAAAAAGTCAAAATTTGTCTGAAGAAAAAAAAACCCAGCCCCGAGCACAAATATTCCGTTACTTTCGTATCGAAAGTCGGAACAAAAATTCTAAAAAATTCAACTTTTTTTAAATGAAATCATCCACCCACACGTCATATAAAATACAAAAGAATAGATTTCGCTCATTGTAACAAATCAATTATGGCAAATAGGCTTCCTTCAACCAATTTGGAACGATTTCTAAGACGGATTAAATCTCCGCTTACGCGTTAATAGCGCGAATTATATCGCGCGTTAATAGTCCCAAATTGGCCAAAATGGCAACCTTTAAACCCCCATAACTTTACGAAAAATGATCACAGGTGAAATATCTTTTCAAATTTAAGCTCAAGACAACAATACCTTTTGAATGATATAAAAAAATTCCGTCAAAAATGGCTAGTTAAAAACTCGAAATTTGTCTGAAGAAAAAAAAACCCACCCCGAGCACAAATAATCCGTTACTTTCGTATCGAAAGTCGGAACAATAACTTATTTACGTTGCGTTAAAAGTTTAGACTATAGAAACGGGCATATGGGACCAGCAATAAACTAGTGATAACTTAAGAAAATCATAAACTTTTTTTGGTAAGATTAGCTGAGAACCTTTGATCTTGATGTATAAAATTTAATGGAAACGTTTTTTTGAATGTTCAATTGTTGATGTTTTTAGCAAGTATTTAACTTTAATTTTGTTTGTCAGCAAGGGACTAGTTGCAACATAGGAAAGACTGGGATAGTATATGTTATCAGGTTTACTAAATTTTGATCGACGAAAATCAACCTTTTAAAGTAACTATGCCTTTTATTTACCAATTTTGATCGACCACAATCAACATATTAAAGTAACTATGCCTTATTTATCAAATTTGATCGACCACAATCAACATATTAAAGTAAGTATGCCCTATTTATGGAAATCAGTTCAAGCTTGTACTGCCTCGGAATTGAGCATAAAACAGTAGCAAATATTGGCTCTTGGACGTTAGGGAAGAAAAACTGATTGTCCAGATACTTACGTTGACTTCCATTTATTGTCTGGTGGTTCGTACTCAATGTCTGGTTGAGCTGGTTTCACATATGTATTGTCATTGAACTTTCCAAGTTCTCTATGATTCCTAAAGCAACACACTTAAATAATCAAAAATTCACCAGGAGTATAACAAGACTGAATCAATCATTAAAAAAAACATTTTAGGGTGAAAATCTGGTTGTTACGAAGGCCCTTTACCGTATCTAGTATAGTTTTTAGCAAAAATTTTATTTCGAAAACCAAAAGATTTGAAAACTTTTCCATTGTTTTGGAAAACTCACTCTACAAGCAATATCAAGTACAAAAAATGATAATACTTTTCTCTATATTAACAATCTTGCCTGCGTTTCGACAAAGCGTTGTAGATGAGAAAATTTTAATTTTAAAGGACAGGGCTTCAAATTTTCTGAGACTACATAAAAATTGTGTCAAAAGTGGCTAGTTTGAAAGTCGATGGTTTTGTTTAAAAAAACCATAGCGAACATGATAAGTTCATCGGAAAAATAGAAATTTTGGCATTTTAGACTTTACTTTGCCAAAAAAATTCTGAGCTCTGCAAAATTTTCCGCAAAAAAACTACCAAAAACGCCGTTTTTTAGCAATTGATAAAGGCTTGTCAAAGGAAGTTTGCGAAGTGACTAGGAAGATACCTGAAACAAAAAGTTTGGGAATTTTTTAATCAAAACTTGATGTCATTATATATTTAAATAGTACCAAAGTTCAAGCGGTCAAAATTAGTATATGTTGGTGCCATAGACTTTTTGGACAAAATTTAAGACTTCTTTGAACGAAACTTGATGTCTTAAAAATACCAAAAGCCAGGAAATAAAAATTAGATTATCTTGGCGCCCTAAGGGCCTTTGGAAAAAAAATCAGATTTGTTTGATCGAAATTTGATGTCGTAAGTAATAACACAGGTCCAGAAGTCAAAATTAGAAAATTCTGGCCCCTCAAAAGTTTTTCAAAAAAAAAGAGATTTGTCGGATCAGAATTTTATGTCGTAAAATACTACCAGATATCAGAGGGTCAAAACTAGTAATATTTGCTTGTAGAAGTATTTATTAGAAGTGTTCTTGAGATCAAAAGGTGATCTAAAAGTAGTACCATAGTCAGAAGGACAAACAAGTAGATGATGTTGGCGCCCTAGGTGTCTTTAAAAAATTTAAGGGCTGTTGGATCAAAACTTGAAGCCAAAAATAGAACCGAAGGTCTAAGGTCAAAATTAGTATATGTTGACTTTTCAAAAATTCTAACAGTTGCATCAAAACTTGATGTCGTAAAATAAAATCAAATGTTAAAAGATCAAATTTATTAAATAATGGCGCCATAGGCGCCTTAGAAAAAATTCTGGAGTTTCTGGATCGAAATTTGATGCCAAAAAGTATCATAAAAATCAGGATGTCAAGATTAGTTTATGTTGCCACTATAGATATCTTCAAAACTATTTTGATGTTGGCTTCATATGTGTATTTAATGAAAAAACCGTTGGGTAAAAAATTGATGTCGTGAAGTAGGAACAAAAATCAGAAGGTCAAACTTTTTTTTATATTTTGGCACCAGGGACGCTTTAAGAAAAAAAAATAGTAGTTTTTGGATAAACAAACTGATGTCGTATAAACGTAGGGGTCTTTAAACGTTGGTGCCCTTGGTGTCTTTAGAAAAATTAAGGGCTGTTGGATCAAAACTTGTTGCCAAAATAAGAAGCAAAGGTGAGGATTTCGAAATTAGTAAATGTTGACTTTTCACAATATCTAACAGTTGCATCAAAGCCTGATTTCGCAAAATAATATTAGATGTTGAAAGATCAAATTTAATGAATAATGGCGCCATAGGCGCCTTAAGAAGCAAAGGTCAGGAGTTCAAAATTAGTAAATGTTGACTTTTCACAAAATCTAACAGTTGCGTCAAAACCTGATTTCGTAAAATAATATCAGATGTTGAAAGATCAAATTTAATTAATAATGGATTTTCTGGATTGTATTTTCTGGATAAAAATTTGATGCCAAAAAGTATCACAAAAATTAGGATATCAAAATTAGTTTATGTTGCCACTATAGATATCTTCAAAACTATTTTGATGTTGGCTTCATATGTGTATTTAATGAAAAAACCGTTGGGTAAAAAATTGATGTCGTGAAGTAGGAACAAAAATCAGAAGGCCAAATTTTTTTTATATTTTGGCACCAGGGACGCTTTAAGAAAAAAAAATAGTAGTTTTTGGATAAACAAACTGATGTCGTATAAACGTAGGGGTCTTTAAACGTTGGTGCCCTTGGTGTCTTTAGAAAAATCAAGGGCTGTTGGATCAAAACTTGATGCCAAAAAAAGAAGCAAAGGTGAGGATTTCAAAATTAGTAAATGTTGATTTTTCACAATATCTAACAGTTGCATCAAAGCCTGATTTCGTAAAATAATATGAGATGTTGAAAGATCAAATTTAATGAATAATGGCGCCATAGGCGCCTTAAGAAGCAAAGGTCAGGAGTTCAAAATTAGTAAATGTTGACATTTCACAAAATCTAACAGTTGCGTCAAAACCTGATTTCGTAAAATAATATCAGATGTTGAAAGATCAAATTCAATTAATAATGGCGCCATAGGCGCCTTAAAAAAAATTTGTATTTTCTGGATAAAAATTTGATGCCAAAAAGTATCACAAAAAGTAGGATGTCAAAATTAGTTTATGTTGCCACTATAGATATCTTCAAAACTATTTTGATGTTGGCTTCATATGTGTATTTAATGAAAAAACCGTTGGGTAAAAAATTGATGTCGTGAAGTAGGAACAAAAATCAGAAGGCCAAACTTTTTTATATATTTTTGCACCAGGGACGCTTTAACAAAAAAAATAGTAGTTTTTGGATAAACAAACTGATGTCGTATAAACGTAGGGGTCTTTAAACGTTGGTGCCCTTGGTGTCTTTAGAAAAATTAAGGGCTGTTGGATCAAAACTTGATGCCAAAAAAAGAAGCAAAGGTGAGGATTTCAAAATTAGTAAATGTTGACTTTTCACAATATCTAACAGTTGCATCAAAGCCTGATTTCGTAAAATAATAAGAGATGTTGAAAGATCAAATTTAATGAATAATGGCGCCATAGGCGCCTTAAGAAGCAAAGGTCAGGAGTTCAAAATTAGTAAATGTTGACTTTTCACAAAATCTAACAGTTGCCTCGAAACCTGATTTCGTGAAATAATATCAGATGTTGAAAGATCAAATTTAATTAATAATGGCGCCATAGGCGCCTTGAAAAAATTTTGTATTTTCTGGATAAAAATTTGATGCCAAAAAGTATCACAAAAATTAGGATGTCAAAATTAGTTTATGTTGCCACTATAGATATCTTCAAAACTATTTTGATGTTGGCTTCATATGTGTTTTTAATGAAAAAACCGTTGGGTAAAAAATTGATGTCGTGAAGTAGGAACAAAAATCAGAAGGCCAAAATTTTTTTTATATTTTGGCACCAGGGACGCTTTAAGAAAAAAAAATAGTAGTTTTTGGATAAACAAACTGATGTCGTATAAACGTAGGGGTCTTTAAAAGTTGGTGCCCTTGGTGTCTTTAGAAAAATTAAGGGCTGTTGGATCAAAACTTGATGCCAAAAAAAAGAAGCAAAGGTGAGGATTTCAAAATTAGTAAATGTTGACATTTCAAAAAATCTAACAGTTGCATCAAAACCTGATTTCGTAAAATTATATCAGATGTTGAGAGATCAAATTTATTAAATAATGGCGCCATAGGCGCCTTGAAAAAATTTTGTATTTTCTGGATCGAAACTTGATGCCAAAAAGTATCATAAAAATCAGGATGTCAAAATTAGATTATGTTGCCACTATAGATATCTTCAAAAATTTTTGATGATGGCTTCATAAGTGTGTTGACTAAAAAGCCGTTGGTTAAAAAACTGATATCGTGAAGAAGGAACAAAAATCAGAAGGCCAAATTTTTTTTTATATTTTGGCACCAGGGACGCTTTAAGAAAAAAAAATAGTAGTTTTTGGATAAACAAACTGATGTCGTATAAACGTAGGGGTCTTTAAAAGTTGATGCCCTCGGTGTCTTTAGAAGAATTAAGGGCTGTTGGATCAAAACTTGATGCCAAAAAAAGAAGCAAAGGTGAGGATTTCAAAATTAGTAAATGTTGACATTTCAAAAAATCTAACAGTTGCATCAAAACCTGATTTCGTAAAATTATATCAGATGTTGAGATATCAAATTTATTAAATAATGGCGCCATAGGCGCCTTGAAAAAATTTTGTATTTTCTGGATCGAAACTTGATGCCAAAAAGTATCATAAAAATCAGGATGTCAAAATTAGATTATGTTGCCACTATAGATATCTTCAAAAATTTTTGATGATGGCTTCATAAGTGTGTTGACTAAAAAGCCGTTGGGTAAAAAATTGATATCGTGAAGTAGGAACAAAAATCAGAAGGCCAAATTTTTTTTATATTTTGGCACCAGGGACGCTTTAAGAAAAAAAAATAGTAGTTTTTGGATAAACAAATTGATGTCGTATAAAAGTAGGGGTCTTTAAATATTGGTGCCCTTGGTGTCGTTAGAAAAATTAAAGGCTGTTGGATCAAAACTTGATGCCAAAAATAGAACCAAAGGTCAGGAGGTTAAAATTAGTAAATGTTGACTTTTCACAAAATCTAACAGTTGCATCAAAACCTGATTTCGTAAAATAATATCAGAAGTTAGAAGATCAAATTTTTTAAATAATGGCGCCATAGGCACCTTAAAAAAATTCTGGATTTTCTGGACAGAAATCTGATGCCAAAAATTATCATAAAAATCAGGATGTCAAAATTGGTTTATGTTGCCACCATTGAAGTTTTCAAAACTATTTTGATGTTGGCGCCATAAGTGTATTTATTAAAAAAATTGTTGGGTAAAAAATTGATGTCGTGAAGGAAGTAGGAACAAAAATCAGAAGGCCAAAATTTTAATATTTTGGCACAGAGGACGCTCTAAGAAAAAAAAATAGTAGTTTTTGGATACACAAGTTGATGTCGTATAAGAAGAGGGGTCTTTAAATGTTGGTGCCTTTGGTGTCTTTAGAAAAATTAAGGGCTGTTGGATCAAAACTTGATGCCAAAAATAGACCCAAAGGTCAGGAGGTTAAAATTAGTAAATGTTGACTTTTCAAAAAATCTAACAGTTGCATCAAAACCTGATTTCGTAAAATAATATCAGATGTTAGAAGATCAAATTTTTTAAATAATGGCGCCATAGGCGCCTTAAAAAAATTCCGGATTTTCTGGACAGAAATCTGATGCCAAAAATTATCATAAAAATCAGGATGTCAAAATTGGTTTATGTTGCCACCATCCAGTTTTCAAAACTATTTTGATGTTGGGCCAGAAGTGTATTTATTAAAAAAATTGTTGGGTAAAAAATTGATGTCGTGAAGTAGGAACAAGAATCAGAAGGCTAAAATTTTTATATTTTGGCACAAGGGACGCTTTCAGAATAAAAAATAGTAGTTTTTGGATAAACAAATTGATGTCGTATAAAAGTTGGGATCGTTAAATGTTGGTGCCGTTGGTGTCTTTAGAAAAATTAAAGGCTGTTGTATCAAAACCTGATGCCAAAAGTAGACCCAAAGGTCAGGAGGTCAAAATTAGTAAATTTTGACATTTCAAAAAAATCTAACAGTTGCATCAAAACCTGATTTTGTAAAATAATATCAGTTGTTAAAAGATCAAATTTATTAAATAATTCTGTATTTTCTGGACAGAAATCTGATGCCAAAAATTATCATAAAAATCAGGATGTCAAAATTAGTTTATGTTGCCACCATTGATATTTTCAAAACTCTTTTGATGTTGGCGCTATAAGTGTATTGATTAAAAAAATTGCTGGGTAAAAAATTGATGTCGTGAAGTAGGCAGAAAAATCAGAACGCCAAAATTTTTATATTTTGGCACAAGGGACGCTTTAAGAATAGTAGTTTTTGGATAAAAATTGATGTAGTACAAAAGCACCAAATGCTAGGAAGTCAAAACTAGTGTATACTGGGGTCATGGATTTGCTTTAAAAAATCAGTTTTCTTGGATCCAAAAATGATGTTGGAAAAATACCGAAGTTCAGGAGGTTAAAACTAGTGGAGCTTGTCACCATAAGCGTCTTTAGAAAAATCTCAGAGATTTTGGATCAAAAATTGATGTCGCAAATTAGTATCAAAGCCAGGAGGTCAAATTCAGTATATTTTGGCGCTCTGGGCGTCTTTAGAAGAGTTTTAAGAGTTGTCGGAGAAAAGTTTGATGGCAAAAACTAGTATTAAAAATCACAAAATCAATTTTAGTTGGACTAAAAATTGATGTCGTTAAAAACATTCCAAAGGTCAGAAGGTCAAAATTATCATACGCTTGCGCCAAAAGCGCCCTCAGAAAATTTTTACGAGTTGTTGGATCAAAACTGGATTCGAAAAAAGTTCCAAAAATTAGCTTGTTAAACCTAGTATATGTTTGCGGCATAAGCGCCAGTAGAAAAACTTAAAATTTGTTGAATTAAAATTTGTTGTCTTAGAATAATATCAGGGGGCATTAGTTCGATAGTTTTATTTGTTGGCTCCATAGGCGTCTTTAGAACCACTTATGGAGCAAAGTCCTATGTCGTACCAAAAACTAGGAGATCAAAATTTTTTTATGTTGACGCCAAAGGCATTTTTAGAAAAATTTAGAGTCATTGAATCAAAACTTGATGACGTAAAACAGGATGACGTACCATTCAGGAGGTCAAAATATGTTTATATTGGCGCCATGTTTTCATTTTTTTCATAAGAAACTATTATTTTTTATTCGAAAAAGTTTTAAAAAAGTAAAGTTTTAAAAACTAAAAGCAAAATATTTATGGATTCCTTTTTAGTTTTTCGTCAAATTTGTGCATGCGGGGAGGGGTTACATGATGGGAAGAATTTTTAAAAACACGCTGAAATTGTTTCTTATGATTCTGATGTTTTTGGCGATACTTGTTTTTGCGTAAATAGCCCATTTTCCAAAATTGCTGCCCCACCACATGGTTATACAGTAATGAGTAATTCTCAAAAAAACTATCTTTTTTTTTGTTTATCACCTACGAAGAAGAATACGGATGGTCTATCAAGAAAATCCGGTCGTTAAATTTGAAGTTGACTTAAAACAGATATTCTCACCAGTCATTTGCTTTCTCTTTTTGTTTCCGCAGGCACAATACAACAACCACGAACAAGGAAAGAGCAATAATCACACCGGCCACGACCATTATTATGACTATGATAGTCATACTTATCATTGAGTCATCGCTAGGGACTGAAATATAAGAAAATACGATCAGAGGTAGGGTAAAAAAAATCATCAGTTTTGCAGTTAAAAGTATGTTTGGAGCAATAATAGTCAATTTGAAATGTCGAAAATCAACCGATTGAAGTTTTTTTTTGATGTCAGTTCAATCATAGACAATTTTCGCTCAATCTTTCGAAGAGAACGAAATATAGCTTTGCTCAGAAGGTTTTTTCGGTCAATTTTCGATTTTTCGACTACGCAATTTTAACGGAGTTCTTATAGCATCTGAAAGATATGGTTATCTGGAGCTAAAATTTTTTTTCCTTTGACTGTTTTTGGTGGCTTGAAAATTGATAATTTGACCTAATTAGTATGATTAACGCGCGATATTTTGCATTTTTATATCACGCGTAAGCGGAGACTTAATGCGTTGCGAACTGAATTACGGCAAACCAATTGGTTTTATCATGGTTCGGGGAAAACAATGCATTATTGATATTGATTAGTTTGGCACCGATTAGATTGTCAATATAATCATTTATAATCGATTTTTTCTAGACCTAAAATCTATTAGAATCCATTATAATCGATTATAATTCATCTCATTTTTAGTTCTAAAGTTGGTTATTTTCATAAATAGTTTACAGAATAGTTGCAAGAAGATTTAATTCAAGTCTCAACAAAAACAAATATAATAAAATTCCTTTCAAATTCTCAACACTAAGCGCCCTACGTATCTACGTTCAACCATTAGCCCACCCAGTAGAGGATTTTGGAGGGCGGTGGGAGTGGACGCCTTCCCCCTCAAGGATATGACCCTCTGCTGACCAAAATCTCTATCTTTAATATTATTTCAGTACCTCTATTGTAGCTCACCTACCTTAATGCTGTTCTAAAGGAGCCTTAGACTTCAATTAGACCTCACTAATTTTGAGGGGGAGCGCGAACCTTTAAGAACGCGTTTTAATTGCACAAGAGATGTTCAAATTAGGGTCCTATGAATGGTTTCGGATAGCACAAAGAACCAATTGGACGATCTGAAAAAAGGATGGACAAAATTTCTTTGAGATAATTTTAAAACATTTTTATAAATTTATTCAATAACTTCTACCCAGAAATCCATCTTAATTGATTATAGGCGATTATTATGGACTATATTGACATAATAAGTGTTAGGTTTATATTCTAATGGGTTATATCTATCTTTTGGAACTTTATGAATACTGACTATAGAATGACAATATAATCAGTTATGATGAAGGGTCGCTCGGTGCGGGCTGGATTTCATTTTTTTTGTTAGCACCATTTAGGTATAAATAACTTTTCTCGACGCTTCAATGTGTATGAATCACCACTTGAACGGTCGCATTTGTGAAACCGCACAGAAAAAATAGAAAAATTATCCTTAAAAATTCTAGTCCCAATTATCTTTAAGAAACATTAAAGGTTTCTATGTCAATGAAATGTCAATCAAGTTACCTGGCACCACAAATTGATTGGTCCTTTGAATCGTGGCAACTTCTTCGTCGTCGAATTCGATTCGAATCAGCAGTTCGTATTCACCTTCGGCCAGTTGCAGATTGAGATCAAAAGAGCACGACCCGATCTTTCCAGAGCATTCTTTTCCATTGACTGTTCCAGTTTCATTGGCTCCGGCCACCCCCAAATTGATTATCTGCATATAAGAGAAAAAAATTATACCAAAAAAACTGCGTGGAACTATAAAAACGAAACATTTTTTAGATAATTAGGCCAGAACTTGTAGATTAGTCTCTTTTGGGAACAGGTTTAAAAAAAGTTTAAGAAAGTTGAAGGCGAGAAATTTAAAGTTAGTAGATCGAATGAGTCATTGAGAGAATGGGTCATTCTACTTGCCACGTAACGAATTTGGAACGAAAATCTGTCCATCATTTTGTCGTCTTCGGCTGATAGGACAATTGTGCATTCGGCTTGACCGTCAATCAGCTCACATTCCACCTTGATGGGATCGGAAGGATCTGCCATTGCTGAAAAAATTGAGGTTTAAAGGCTGTCAATAGGATTCTGAACTCTCTGTACTCGTATGGTTTTTTGTTCATGTTTTTCTCATGTTTATTTTAGTGTTTTCATACATTTAACCAAAAGCATCGAAAAACTTTTGCCTGAGGGTGTTCTGAAGTCGTCGTAGGTCGCAAAGGGCAGTTCGTCGTTGAATATGCTTGGTGTCAATTCGATTTCGTATTTTGTATTCGGTTCAAGGTTTTCCACCAAGTAGGTACATGAATCCTGTTCTGCGCTGCAATCCGAGCCGCGGAACCGGCCGGAGACTTTGACATTTTCAGTGTCATATTCGAAGACCTGATTCAAAAAAGTTGTGAGTTCAAAATTCGAATCTTTGAGTCTCAGAATTTATTTTATTAACTCATTTTTATAAAATATTTAACTTAGAAAGAAAACTGAGATAGAGTTATATACAAACTAAAAACGATCAAACTAAATGGAAACAACCAATAAAAAGCTTCGTGACTTGTTTTAACGAACTACAACAGGGGCGGATTTGGGGTTGGGTAGGGGGAGGGGGGTGTATGCTTCCTTTCCCCTCAGGGATTCGACGCCCTGCCGACCCAAAGGGTCCCTCTTTGAACTATTTTAAGATATCCATTTTTGACTGACGGACCCTAAAAACTTCCTTCGGCGCCACTATATACTAATTTTGAGGGGGGAGCGCGAGCCAAAAAAACACGATTTTTTGGTCAAAATTTTTCGAAAAGTGGCTAAAAACACCTTTTTTGGCCTGTTTTGCTGGCCTGTTAATAGCTAAAAATAGTTATGCTAGATAGATGTAGCCTAAAAATCAAAAAAGTATAAAATATCAAAATAGTTTCTACAACTCTATGGTTACTCAGCACTTTGTTTTTTTATGGTTAAAAATCAACAACGAAGAAGCATTTATGCTATGCATCATACTATAAATTCGACAAATATGTCAAAAAGCTCTAAAAACAGGTCATTAATAAAAATGAATTATAGATTATTGCGTCTTTAGTTCGTTTCTTCTGTCGCTTAGAGCTGCCAAAACTCATGCCTCTACATAGTCATTCAAGAATTCAATTGAAAGATTGAACAGTTTTTCACACAGTAACATTTTACGCAACAATAAATGATAATTAAGGCAGAAATTTGATTTTCAATCAACGACCAGCTGCTTAAAACATCCCGTACCGAATTAAATGATAACAAAAGAATTATCTTCAGCTTTTTTAAGAAAATCGAGATCAAAATATGAAAAGCATAGTTCAGCTTACATATAAAAAAAAGATTTATAGTTCTATTTGGTTCGAATTGAAAAAATATTTACACATCACCTGAAATGTTGAAAATTTCTAATTAACCTCAGAATTATAATTTCACTTCACAATAAACATTCACATAGGAGCCGAGCAAGTTACGTTACACTTGCCAGCTTTTCAATCATAAACAACGATAAAAACATTTTTCACACAAAACAAAAGAATCAAGGACGACATTTGGTAGAAATGGCTAATTTCCTTTCGATCTTTTCAGTTTTCAGAAAGAATCCAACAAAGTAACAAGAATGCTCGTATGTCAGGGCAAAACCATGAAGGTTTCGAATGCAATTTAAACCCAATTTAAAAACTGGTTGAAAGTTTGTTTAAATAATTGAACTTTTTTTTTTCTTTTTTCTTCTTTTTAACCCCCATATACGTTACAAAGGTACAAAGGGATGTGTTTAGCGTCTTTTATCCCAGCGATATGACCAAATCTCTGGCCTCCATTTAATTTGAAACAATTTGATCTACCGCTGACTCGTGCAATAAAAACGCAAAACATCGCGCGTGGATTATCACAAACTGGTGAAGTAAGCAATTTTCAGACCTCTATAATTTAAAAACTGTTGAGCTCAAATTTTTTGAATATGATTTGAGCTTCAAGTAACAATAGTTTCCCAATCGTATGAAAAAATTTCGCCAAAAATCCTTGATTATGAAGTCAAAATTGGCCAATAAAAACAAGAATGCTCGTATGTCAAGGTAAGTCAGGGTAAATCAAGACTTTTAACTAGTCTCGTACAGTTTTTGATAAATCAAAGATTGACAATTTATGAATTGTAAGCTGATAGTATCGATTTTAAGTGATAGTATTTGAGTCGTATATGGAATTAAAACGACCAACTAGTTTGCCTCAATTCAGTTTGGAACAATTTTGTACTGCGGGATTACTCACCATGTTTTATTAATTTCATCATCAAATGGTAGAACGAGCAGTTTAGTTACTTTCGTTAGAGAGCTACCGTAGAATCATGTCCAGGGATCGAACCTCCCACACAGAAAATTTTTCTTCTGTCTGAATAAAAAAACCACCACAAGAGTTTACATTTCTAACTCTTTTCAAAAATTCGGAGCAAAAAAACCCACCCCAAGCATAAATAATCTCGCAATTTCTGCGAAACTTAAAAGAATAATGTACATAGCGCCGTAATGACATTTTTCTATATGTTAATAAATTAAAATCTAGAAGCCAAATTTATCACCAAAATATAAAAGGATAAAACTAAGAATCATGACAAGACTCAACCTTAATGAGAAAATACTGAGAACCAATAGCCCAATATATTTTAAAAAACTTTCTTTTGCTTATGAAGCATCTGTGATTAATGAACATTTTACCAAAAACAAGAATTAAAAGCTGTTATAGAGGCCGTAATTTTTCTATAAAATGCTTAAAACTTTCAAGCAAAAAAGTGATTACAGTACCTGGTAGGTGAAGTCAAACTTCTCCTTATATGGCAACTGACTCGCTCGTATATTGACCAAACATGTGTCTGCATCGCAGTGAGAAATATCCAAGAGCACTCCAAGCCCAGCGTCTGCAAAAATTATACAGCTAATTTGAACTCATCTAATCAATAGATTTTGTCGAGAAATTAGATACCACACCAAGATCATAATTTTTCAATCGAATTTTTCAAATGAAATTTTGTGCTCTTTTTTTACTTTGCTGTGATCTTTGTGACGCTGATTGTGATACTTGAAGTATCGTGGAAATCAGAAGAGAATGCCCAGTTTTTGTACAAATAATTGTGTTTGCACCTCAAAAATTTTGTTTGATAAGTTTTTGCTACTCACGTTGGAAGAAGAGGTTTCGGTATCCGGGTGGAGAGTTACTGAACAGTTGGAGATTGTCGTATGACACCTTGCTCGTCAATTTAACAGAAAACATTTGGGATCTCTCAAGCGCTGAACTGTGAAAGCATTCGAACCCGGCATCTTGCTGAAATTTCAGAAATTCCGTTCCTAAATTTTGAATCTTTCGAGGGCTTTCCAAACAAACGGTTTGTGTATTTTTAATTCTAGTCAAAATTCGAGCGAGTTTAAGCAATCTTTATAAAAATTCGGTAATTTAGGGCAAAAACTTTTAAAATTACTAAAAAGAACTTGCTCGATTCAACATGGATTACTATGGACCAGAAGAAACCCCTTTAAAAAGAATACACCGGGACGCTTAAATTTTTCAAAAATGATTTTTTTTAGTTCACCGTGCTCAAAATGTAATCAATCTTGTTCCGATATGGTTGATCGTGTTCCAGCAAATTTAGCATTTAAATCCAACGTCTAATGTTTTCTTGAACTGGAATTTTATGGATAATAATCAGTAATATAGGGTTTTCATCGTCAGTCTCAATAAAAAAAGGAAAAACAATCGATTAAAATTGAGTTCAAAAGGATATTAATATTACTTTTTTCTGGGCAAAAAAATCTTTCTGAATCAGTTTCAGTTGAGTATAATCAAACTAATCCATTCTAATAACTTATAATACCAAAATGCCTAAGTGTTTTTTTGCTTCTTTTAAAAAAATATTTTGTAAAGAATCAAGCTGAACGTTTCAACTATTTTGGCTATTATGTAGCATTTTTTGCGTGCTATTGGAGTTTTACCCCCACATAATCGATGAATGTTTACCCCCACCCCCTCTCAATTCTCCGGTTAAGTCTCGTACTCTTTAACGCCCCTCCCCTCTCTCCCCCATGTTAACACACCCAAGAATCCCCACATGTTTACCCGTTTACCAATCCCCCCTCAAAAACTTCCACAACTGCCGCCTATGCTTTCCTGGAGGGGGAGGGGAGTTAACCTGACGGATTGGTTTTTATTCGTGAAAGTTAGAAATTGAAGTGATTGATTTCAAAAAATTTAAACTATAGCTTCATTTCCTCACAGCCTATGTCTTTATCCTCAGAAGTAGTTGAAATTGGGTGTGTCTGCATTGATGAACTGCTAACGAACTAACTTTTCGCTCAACCAAACTGTCTAAATCAACAAAAAAACAACTGATTCAAGAGCGGGTGTAGAAAACAATGGTAGAGGACCAACAAAAAACATCAATCAGGTAAAAAAAAAACAATCGCGCTCCAAAAAAAATTCCTGGATCAACTAAAAGAAGAAAATGGCAATCTACAGGTCTTTTTTCTTTGGGTCAGCCAAATTGATTTTCGAAGCTCTCCTAAAACACTAAAAAGACCAAAATTTCAGCACCGCAAGCAAATTTAAAAAAAGAAACAGGTCAAAAAAGCCGTTTTTGAGCATTTTTGGAAAATTTTCACAACAAAAATAGCGTTTTTTTGGCGCGGGCTCCCCCTCAAAGTTAGTATATTTTGGCACTGAAGGCGCTTTTAGACAAATGTTAGGTTTCGTCACCAAAAATGGATTTCTTAAAAAAAATACCAAATGGGGACCCTTTGGGTCGGCAGGGGGTCGAATCCCTGAGGGTCTGTATGTTGCGTCTGTATGTTCCTGGATTCCAGACAGAAGTCATTAAACATGGTAAATTTGTGTCGGAACGATCAAAAAATTGAAAGAACAGAAGAAGAACGAAAAAGAACGTCTTTGCTGCGGAATCCGCTTAAATTTCCCAAAAAAGCAAAAAAAAGTGAAGGCCTCGTTTTGAGCAATTTATTGAAAGATCCGACCGCCAACCCAATTGAATTCCACAGTCTAGTAAGATTTATCATCCGAAAATAATTCCCCTGTTCTTCAAAACACTGATAATATCAGACAGCACGTTCAAAAATGTGAAATCAACAAATATATTGAACAAAACAACTATACAAAGATATCCATCGGCAACAGTTAAAGATCTTGAGGGCGTTATTCAACGATTTTGCGCAGGGGCTAAAACGCAAGCCTTGATAATGCATGTACAATAGAACATTCAATGTTCAAAACAATAGAAAAAGGTATATCAGCAAATGAAGTGGCACAAAAATTACGTGACACGGTCTCAAACTATATCGAAAAGCTTAAGCCATACCATGTTGTGAAATCACAGATACCACTATTTAAAATGGGTTTTCGAGAAGGAATCAAACAATTTACTATTGAATCTTTCAATGTGAAAATACCAATAGTTGCTATTGAACTAGATGAACTACAGTTTGCCAAAAGTGGAATGTATATCTCGGAAACATGACAGCTTGATATATCGGATGATGGTGTTCATTTGAACATAAGCGGCACTCAGAAATGGTTCAAAACTTCAGCTCATTTTTCAAAAGCTAGACAAATGGGCATTTCTTCGGGGGATCTACAGAAGATTCAGAGTCATAACGAAACAAAATGGGGGATATAGTTCAAATCTTGGACGTATACCATTGCAAAACACTTATCAACCATACCCTTATGAATCAATGCAGTAAGATTTCAGTTGAGAGAAAAAATACGAAGTTAACAGGAAAAACTAACAGACTTTTAGTTTTTGTTTTGACATTGATAAATTTAAGAACTTGTATAGTTTAAATAAACTTTGGCCACTCATTTCAAGAAACAAACGTTTTTGAATGTTATTAAAAAGTTATAGGCATCTATTATTTGTTTTCTAGAAGTTTCTACCAACATAAATGCTCCAAATTATCAGGAGATTTTGATGTATAACGAGGCTAACCAGATTCCAGCGCTTTTAAAGCTCGCTGAATCGAAAACGAATGGAAAAAAGTGTCGATTTTTCTAAACAAAATGTCAGAAGTTTCAAAATTTTTTTTAATGAAATACAAAACTTTCCGGAAAACTACCGGAGACAATTTTTTTCATGATTACTGATATTTGGCAAATCAAAAGTCAAATAACAGATAAAAACTTTTCTTAACCCCAAACTTAATTTTTACTACACATGCAGAGCAAAGTCGATAGGAGTTAGCATGGGTGAATGGGCCCCTGCAATTTATAAAGTGAAAAAAAGGTTACCTAAACACCATGAAAAAAGTTTTCTGAATCAATTTGGTTTGAAATTAGTCAACCATTTGACAAAAAAAATACTTCTAAATATTTTTCATTGTCTCAATGAAGCCTTCGTAGAGTTCTTCTAGATGATCTTACATCTCAAATATCGGCAGCAAACCAACTAAGATGAAATTTTCCTTTTTGGCGACTCAAATGCTTATCTTTGAAAAAAATTGTGGCTAATAACGGAACCAAATTTAACAATCGTGATACTCCCAGAAGGTGGAACACATCTTACTTGCTCATTGAACAATGCGTTATGTCAAAACAAAAGATCCGTAATTTAAAATGCTGTGATTTTTCAATTATTAATGATCCTTTTTTGCTAAATTACGAATCCTAGCGATCTATCAGAAATGGCAAAAAGCGAAACTTATGTTTTTCAAGGATCAAATTAAACCGCTTACCTTCAAACTTCAACAAAATTTTAGCAGGTTTTGACAGGTGTATAATGTATCAGCAAATGAAAGCAGAGAGCATGTTTTCCGTTTTTTTCGATATTTTAAAATGTCATTCGGACAAACTTTCTTTTAAATTACGCAAAAAACTGGATTGAAGATGGTTGGAAAAAAATCGTGGTTAACAAAACAAAACACCTAAAGGAGATGATCATTGAAAAACATCAGCTTATTAATAATTGGAAAAATGATCAAACAGATGCAAACAATTTTAATCTTAACAATCAAACACACCTTGTTAACAGAATTTTGGAAAACGCTGAGACGAGTTATCAGAAAAAAGTTATCAGAAATTGATAAAAAACCAAAGAACAATGGATTTTTTTAAACTCAAAATTAGGAAAAATTCAATACACACGTAAAAATACTTTAGTTATTTTATTCTTCAGGCGAACAACTCAATAATCAATATGATATAGAAAATGCCCTAAGTCGAGTAATCGCAGAACTCGGAAAATACAAAGCTTTGTTCGGACTTTGCCACGATTTGATACAAAGAATGCTACGAATCGGACTTTGTTCGATGGTCAGTGTTAAATGTTGGCTCTGTTAAAAAAATCGATTTCAAGCAAATTACCAGTAAAGAACTATGTCTGTCAATTGATAGTTTACAAAGTAAAAATGCTAATGGTCCTATTAAATTACCATCCTGGAGCATTAAATGCTCAAAACTTGCAACGGCTAAACACCTAGAGTTCGTAGTAAATGAATGCATGAAGTTAAATATTTATCTGCAAGAGGTAAGAAAAGCGTATTTACAACGATTTATAAAAACCAAAATATAGACTAGCGGAAAAAAAATTGGCCATTTTTGGGACGCCATTTTTGCTAAGTTTTATGGAAGAAAACTACACATAAACCGTTTTGAATATATAGATAAAAATAAGCCCTCAAATATAATGCAATTCGATTTTTAGAAAAAAACTTTCCCTTGACGCTAGACTTTCATTAATGGAAATTATACGTTTTAATGATCGCAATGAAGACTTGCAGTAAAAGTGGAAAAGACAATATAGGATTGCGAAGTCTTGAATCGACAAGTTCCACAAGTGACAGATCCCGGTAGAATAATTTTCTTTCTCTATCTATTCAGTTTGCAGACAGATCAAACCAGTCTGATAGTAAGCCAAAAATTTCAAACTTATTGCAAGAACACATTTAAAAAATGCTTTATGACGTCGACGCTTAGATGAAGAAGAGTAGTCTCTCTTTGAATTTCGATAAAACGGGAGTTTCATCTATTGAACAGTGAAAACAGTATATACTGAGTTTTTCATAATAATCACGAAAGTAAAACTTCGAAATCAAGCAGTTATCTAGGAACTTTTCTTGCAACAACATTTAAGGTTTGCAAATCAAGTAAACATTTCATGCAAAATGGCTCACGGAGTCCGTTCACTATATCTCATCAGGAATGTAGTTCCCTTGAGGGTTCGGATTATTTTATTCAAGTCCCAGGTATTATCCCATTTTTTATTTAGCGCAATCTTTTCAAAGAAACTTCACAAAATTCACAATTGGATAGAAAAAATATGCAAGTTAACTGGGTGTTACAATTCTGTTTTATACGAAGGAAAAAGGATAAAGCACGTGATCTACTGATAAAAGGCTGAATACTTCCTCCAAAGCAATTGATAACGAAAATGACTCTTCTTGAAAGTCAGAAATGGGTTTTTTGGAACACTCTTATTGCATCAAAGTACAGGTAAAACACCAGAGACGGTCAAACTGTTTTAATATGCTACCTTAAAGGTTATCCACAACCTAAAGAAATCAGACTCGTCACATCTCGCAAAAATCAGAGAAAAAATAAAGACATACCACTCGGTGGATTCAGATATTACTTTTACCAATAGTCTTTATCCTAGAAGGCTAATAAATAAATAAAAAATTAATTGTTGCATGTGCAGTTTATTTTTTTTAAATGTTGTGTGTAAAATTAATCATTCCTAAACATGGTTATACAAAATTAACATGTTTAGCAGTATAATTTTTTTTCTGCAAAATTTATCCTTCTCATATTGCGTTTCTGCGAATTTATGCTTGCAGTTTTGAAGAAAAGGAAACGGAATAAAAGAAACAAACTGTTCTTCAGAACAAAAACGACTATAATGGACTTTTGTTGGCAAAGAAATTTGGTGTTTTCGGGAGGGAATCAAACAATTTTACTGTTTGAATCTTTCAATGGGAAAATACCAACAGTTGCTATTGAACTAGATGAACTACAGTTTGCCAAAAGTGGAATGTATATCTCAGAAACATGACAGGCTTGATATATCGGATGATGGTGTTCATTTAAACATAAACGGCACTCAGAAATGGTTCACAACTTTAGCTCATTTTTCAAAAGCCAGTCAAATGGGCTTTTCTTCGGGGGATCTGCAGAAGATTCAGAGTCATACCGAAAAAAAATGGGGATATAGTTCAAATCTTGGGCGTATGCCATTGCAAAACACTTATCAACTATACCCTTATGAATCAATGCAGTAAGATTTCAGTTGAGAGAAAAAATACGAAGTTGACAGGAAAAACAAACAAACTTTTAGTTTTTGCTTTGACATTGATAAATTTAAGAACTTGTATAGTTTAAACAAACTTTGGCCACTCATTTCAGGAAACAAACGTTTTTGAATGTTATTTAAAATGTTATAGGCATCTATTATTTGTTTTCTAGAAGTTTCTACCAACATAAATGCTCCAAATTATCAGGAGATTTTGATGTATAACGAGGCTAACCAGATTCCAGCGCTTTTAAAGCTCGCTGAATCGAAAAAGAATGGAAAAAAGTGTAGATTTTTCTAAACAAAATGTCAGAAGTTTCAAAATTTTTTTAAATGAAATACAAAACTTTCTGGAAAACTACCGGAGACAATTTTTTTCATGATTACTGATATTTGGCAAATCAAAAGTCAAATAACAGATAAAAACTTTTCTTAACCCCAAACTTAATTTTAACTACACATGCAGAATAAAGTCGATAGGAGTTGGCATGGGTGATTGGGCCCCTGCAATTTATAAAGTGAAAAAAAGGTTACCTAAACACCATGAAAAAAGTTTTCTGAATCAATTTGGTTTGAAATTAGTCAACCATTTGACAAAAAAAATACTTCTAAATATTTTTCATTGTCTCGATGAAGCCTTCGTAGAGTTCTTCTAGATGATTTTACATCTGAAATATCGGCATCAAACCAACTAAGATGAAGTTTTTCTTTTTGGCGACTCAAAAATATGAAAAAAATTGTGGCCAATAAGGGAATCAAATTTATCAATCGTGATACTCCCAGCAGGTGGAACACATCTTACTTGCTCACTGCACAATGTGTTATGTCAAAACAAAAGATCCGCAATTTAAAATGTTGTGAATTTTCAAATAATATTGATCCTTTTTTGCCAAATTACGAATCCTACCGAGCTATCAGAAATGGCAAAAAACGAAATTTATGTTATGATAAAAAGCTAAATACTTCCTGCAAAGCTATTGGTAACAAAAATGACTCTTCTCAAATCTTTTGGTTGCTTGAAAAAATGAAATGTTTTTTTTTGGAACACTCTTTTTGCATCGAAGTACAGCAGGTAAAACACCAGAGTCGGTCAAACTGTTTTAATACGCTACCTTAAAGGTTATCCACTACCTAAAGAAATCAGACTCGTCACATCTCGCAAAAAATCAAAGAAAAAATAAAGACATACCACTCGGTGGATTCAGATATTACTTCTACGATAGTCTTTTTCCTAGAAGGCTAATAATTAAATAAAAAATTAATTGTTGCATGTGCAGTTTAATTTATTTAAAATGTTGTGTATAAAATTAATCATTCCTAAACATGGTTATACAAAATTAAAATGTTTTGCAGGATAAATTTTTTTTTCTGCAAAATTTTATTAGTCTCATATTGCGTTTCTGCGAATTTATGCTTGCAGTTTTGTAGAAAGGGAAATGGAATAAAAGAAACAAACTGTTCTTCAGAACAAAAACGACTATAATGGACTTTTGTTGGCAAAGAAATTTGGTGTTTGGTAGATTTAACCATGAAACTCCAGTGCGGGTTAAAACATCGTCGCAGAAGCACATAATAATACTACTTCGATTCGAGAGCCTGTGGATAAATGGTCTTAACTTAACTTACTCGACTCAGTATATTTTGGTTGAAATTCTGTTAGATGGTTGGTGGTATTCATTTGCATCGTGAATCATCTAATGCAGGTTATTGCCACAAAATCTAGCAGGCTCAAAAAACTTAGTTTTTTTTTATTGCGATTGCAATGTATTTCTCATTTTGATTTGTTTTTGATTTTTGAACTATTTTTGATTTTTTTAATATCATTTTTTTGAAATATCAAATCTAAAAAACTAATTAATATTTTCAATTTCTATAAAAAAATTTCAAGTATTGATTCTATTTTATACATTTGCTTATGTCTACATAGAGGTATGAAATAGATTATAAGCAATTCTTCTAATACATGAATTGTCTCAGAAACCATTCTTGCTCCAACCTTCAATTCCGTATCCTAAATTTGACAAGAATCCAAAGTTTTGCGAGAACTTTTTCAAGGATCTTCCTTTTGGCGCTGTTTCAAATAATGAACTTTGAGCGACCAATCATAAGTTTTTTGGGGGCCGATTACTATAATTTAGGAGGAGCGTGCTGTTGGGGGCCGATTACTATAATTTAGGAGGAGCGTGCTGAAACTAAAAACTACATTTTTGGTCAAAAGCTTAAGTGGCGTTTTTTAACTTTAGTTGTTAAACTTTGCTATTAACTCTAAATTTCAATGAAAAAAAAATTCTTTAAAAAAGGAAACAAACAGATAAGAATTTGAAAGAGTGAAATTTGATCGTAAATATGTATTCGAATCTGTTGAGTAAATAGCTTGCGATCTCTAAATAAAACAGTATTTAAAGATTGCGAAGGTTTTGCTCAATAAGTTTGCTTCGTGCGCCTCAGCCATGATGTTTTTTTTTTCAGAAAAGGGTGACTTTTTAGTAAATTGAAGCAGATTAAACTCTTTTTTTTCAGGGAATCGGATCTTACGTTTTCTTCCACATTCTTGGCTTTTGTATCCAAAGAAGTGTCAGGAGGCTGCATCAGGGATGTTTCGATTTCATCATAGTGGGCATCGTCTTTGGGTGCAATCCACACAATACACAGCAGAGATTCATTCATGAATATCACCTCAACGTCACTGTCAATTTTTGGCGGCTCTGAAATTGATGTTGTTTTTATTACTTCAGGTTTATATCTAATGAACAGGAGATAGTTCAAAGAATAATCCTGTTCTTGGAAGTCTTAGACTTCTCTAAAAATTAGTTGATCCTGGCGCCAAAAGCGCTTTTTGTAGTTTTTTGAGACCAGCTAGTCAAAATGGTTGGAATCAATATTACCAATAGGTCCTTTAGTACAGTTTGGAACTGAGAACGGAGGGCAAGCGGAGGGGCGATTGACCCCTTTCTATCCCCTAGACACGCTACCCTTCATTATAGCGTGCTATTGTGTTATGGATATAATCTTTTCCCTGTTTTGCATTTCATTTTTTTGATCTTTATTTAAGTCTTTTTTTTTACTAATAGGCAAATTGGGTAACTAAAAATTTCAAAAAGCTGATGCGAGTCTTTTTTCAACTATCTTTCAGAGCATTAAAATCACTCCCAGAGTATTAAACTAACATAAATTATAAGGTTGTTCAAAATTTGAAAGCTTGGGTTGGAGCTTTGTAGAGTTAGCTCATCTTGTCACAGTTTGGAAAAAATATTCACTAACCCGTCACAAACTTCTCTTCATAGAAGTCTTCACTTTTTAGGAGGGTCCCGTTAGAGCAATTAACCACCGTGTGGACAAATATCTCATACACTGTCCCGAACTTGGGCAAATCCACCGAAACATCCGTTCCCAGTTCAACATGCTCGTTCGCGTAGACTTGAACTTGCTCTTCGAAGTCCATGATATTTATTTCGAAGTGATGGAACTCGGCAGGAGGGGGATTCGAAACTGAGACCTTGACAAAGGATCCATCGTCTCCCTGCCAGTCAGTTGCAACAGAAACAGTCGTCGGAGCAGTGGGAACTGAAAAAAAATGCTTATGATTCAAAATGCTGTTGCAATGATAAAAATTCACTCTTCAATCCAAACACAACGAAGAATTTGCCTCCCGATAAATCAGTTAGTTTTTGTTTGCTTCGGAAAACTTGAAAAAAACAAGAAGGACAAAAATAAGATCAAAGATTGACGCCCATAGTTCAGAAATAATTAACACCATGACGAATTTCGTTTTTTTGTAAATGTATTTTCAACATTTATGCATTTATTTAATTAACAATAATTTAATTAATGCATTACTAAAATTACAATTCAATTAATTACTAAATTTAATTAATTCATTACTAAATATTGGCAACTTAATAATAGTCTATTTTCTCAAATCAAAATTCGATAAATGGATTAAAATTAGGTACTCAAAACCAGGCGCGTTTCTAGAAATTTCTCGTAAGGGGGCAGAATTTCTCGAAGGGGGGGGGCAGCAGATTTTTACGTTTTTCTCGACCTTTTTTTCTAGGTCAACAAATTGATTTTCTGAGCTCTCCCAAATGACTCTAAAGACCCTATATTGGCCAAGTTTCTCTGCTCCTCAGGTAATTTTTTCAAAACACAGGCCAAAAGAGGCACTTTTTGGAAAAATTCGACCGAAAAGTTCAGTTTTTTTCGGCGCGCACTCCCCTTCAAAATTAGTATATATTGGTGCCGAAGGCTCCTTTAGAAAACTTTGAAGGTCAGTCATCCAAAAGTGTAAATCTCAAAATATTACAAAGGGGGGCCATTTGGGTCGGCAGGGGGTCGAATCCCTGAGAACCCCCACCCCGACCGCCACCTCCCTAAATGCGCTACTGCTCAAAACTAACCTTGACATTGTTGAGTAACGTGCAATAATGACAAGAAAACCACCGCACGTAGTAGACTTTTGAAACCTGAAACGACAAAGTATTTATTTCTGTTAAAATGTGATTTTGCTCTTTTTACTCCCCCCTCGAATTTTTAAAAGTCATATCTTTATTGAACTCGTCCGATTGCTGGCCTGGTAAAACCACTCGTAAACACTATAAAAAAATACTATGCGAAATGAGCGGAGGAAAAATAGCTGGAAGTTAGTATAGAAAAAAAGATGGATGTCAAAACCTTACCTTTCATACGTGTTTTCTTCTTCGTGTTTTATGTGTCTTCAGTCTGATCAAAACTGAAACTGAATTAACAAAAACAGAAAAGTTGTTGTTTGTGATATTTTTAGCCTGACTGATTGAATTATAACATCTGTTCAGATGGTTAAATTCTGGCCAATTTAATAATTCTTTGACCAGAACAGTATAATTGTTATGGTAAAAAGTGATTTTATCGAGCCAGCATTGTTAAATTTTGAACAAGTATCTGTATCTGTAATTTTCTAAACACGACCAATATTTGCATGATAGCCGATTTTAACTTCATATTGATAGATACTTATTCACTAACATTGTTGTCAAAAAATGGACAAAAACTGAATCTGTCGTACAGCAAATACTCATTAACGATAGACTCTTATGGTTAAAAAATGAACAAATTTTACAGCCAATACTCATTATTATTCGGTTTTTTCTCTAGTCATTAAAAAATACAAATTATCTACCAACCCAGTCAAGGCGCGCCAAGTTTTTTTCAGTTTTTTCAATTGAAAGCTGGTTTGTCTTTTTGCTCGAATAAGCAACGTTGCTTGACCTCGATAAATTTTTATTTTTTTTTCGGAAAACAGAGAGTTGAGTTGTTTTTCTGATGATGCCACTATTGTAGCAAAGTCATCAGAAGACATGGGGAAAAATAGACTATGAAAAAACCTGGAAAATTTCTTTGTACCAATTCCATAATCAGTTCAGTGTCCTTTTTAAATACATCATTACGAGTCCAACTGTGCACTGGAAAGGCGCAAAATTTCTTGTCTGCAGGTCACTGGAATTCATAAAACATGTCTCAAAACATGTTCCAAAATATCAGTGGAATCCACTTACAAATGTTTCGTGGATTCTGCGCACAAATACCTGTAACGTAATTTTTGTGGGTATATTAGTTTCATCGCAGATTTCTAACAAAAGAATGTAACCAGTTGTTCCAGATTTCTCAAATATACGCGGATTTGGCAAAGATAAACGGCTGGCCACTTAATCAACAAAATCAAAAACAAATTTGTTCTCCATCTGTCTCAGCTAGCAGTAGAGCTAAATGTGACCAATTTGAATTTGTTTTCTGAATTCAATTTGATTTGTTTTTTTTTTTAGATTTTATAATACATACGGCACTGGCACGATATTAACTTTAGTTAAAATGAAATTTTCAGATTTTCTCTGAAGCGACTTTTGTTTCCCCGTATTTCGGGAGCGTAAAGCCATAATGTATAATGGTGGTAAACCCCTCCAATTTTAATGACCTTTTTTGCCATAAAATAAACGTATCATAGCTGAATATTCGATAAACTTATTAAAACTGCTCCTACTATACAACATACAAGCAAAAATATACAACTAAACTTCGTCCTATCTTTGACATTGGCCTGAAATATCCATTGTAGACCATCCCACAAAAGTTTCTCTATCTTAGAAGTTTTCATAAGATTTGTAAAAAAAATCCGCTACCCTACAACTGTCTTATATGAAAAATTCTAAGATATCAAAAAAATCGGCAAAATTTAGCTAACTGTGTGTTTGCAAAAACCTTAATAACAATTGGATACAAACTTTCAAAGTTTTTTTTTCAAATTTGCGCATGTAAAGAGTTTATGTGGTTATACTGTATGAATTTCACACTGTGGTTATAATGTTTAAAATTTTCTAATTATACGTAATTGGCCCTTCAAAATTATTTTGCAGACAAAAAATCAACTTCGATGAATCAAGTCATGTAGCTGCGTAAGTGCTGTATGTCTGGTTCATGAGTATATTAACAAATTTTCCAATCACCAGCAAAAAACTAACTCTCAAAAATTAGTTAGTTTTTCGGCATTTTCTAGTAACAAAACGAGTCGTTGGCCTGCAAAATTCCATTGTACTCTGGGACATCGGAGAACTTTTAAACTATTTGAAAGGAATTTACCGGATCAAGTATTAGGAACTCTTAATTTGTAGGCGTGAAATAGCCAGGCTTGGTCAATTTTTTTTATATAATCAATCCTTTAATCGTTTTTCTTCTTTTTTAAAAAAAAAATACTACATGTTTTTGAAATTGAAAACAACTAAAGAGACTTTATAGGGCAAACTATTACAATTGATTGATTGATCAAATGATTTTATCAATTATTCAAAATAAAAAAGATGGCTCACTCGAAAGTAACCGAACTCAATTGCCATGGCAATAAATCGATAACGGAAAAGAGGAATTTTTTTATCATTTTGAAGACAATTGTGGCTCACTCGTAACTGACCAAACTCAATTGCCATGGCAATAAATCGATAACAAAAAAAGATTTTTTTTTCACATTCTCAAGACAATTGTGGCTCACTCGGAATTAATCTAACTCAATTGCCATGGCAACAAATCGATAACAAAAAGAAAAAAATTTTTTTTCCACTCTCAAAACAATTGTGGCTCACTCGGAATTAATCCAACTCAATTGCCATGGCAACAAATCGATAACAGAAAAGAGGAAAATTTTTTTCTCATTTTGAAGACAATTGTGGCTCACTCGTAACTGACCAAACTCAATTGCCATGGCAATAAATCGATAACAAAAAAAGATTTTTTTTTCTCATTCTCAAGAAAATTGTGGCTCACTCGGAATTAACTTATCTCAATTGCCATGGCAACAAATCGATAACAGAAAGAAAAAAATTTTTTTTCCACTCTCAAAACAATTGTGGCTCACTCGGAATTAATCCAACTCAATTGCCATGGCAACAAATCGATAACAGAAAAGAGGAAAATTTTTTTCTCATTTTGAAGACAATTGTGGCTCACTCGTAACTGACCAAACTCAATTGCTATAGATACAAATCGATAACAAAAAAAAAGATTTTTTTTTCACATTTTCAGGACCATTGTGGCTCACTCGTAACTAACCCAACTCAATTGCCATGGCAACAAATCGATAACAAAAAAAAGAGTTTTTTTCTCATTCTCAAGACAATTGTGGCTCACTCGGAATTAAGGAATTAACCTAACTCAATTGCCATGGCAACAAATCGATAACAGAAAAAGGAAATATTTCCCACTCTCAAAACAATTGTGGCTCACTCGGAATTAATCCAAATCAATTGCCATGGCAACAAATCGATAACAGAAAAGAGGAAATTTTTTTTTCTCATTTTGAAGACAATTGTGGCTCACTCGTAACTGACCAAACTCAATTGCTATAGATACAAATCGATAACAAAAAAAGGATTTTTTTTCACATTTTCAGGACCATTGTGGCTCACTCGTAACTAACCCAACTCAATTGCCATGGCAACAAATCGATAACAAAAAAAAGAGTTTTTTTTCTCATTCTCAAGACAATTGTGGCTCACTCGGAATTAAGGAATTAACCTAACTCAATTGCCATGGCAACAAATCGATAACAGAAAAAGGAAATATTTCCCACTCTCAAAACAATTGTGGCTCACTCGGAATTAATGCAACTCAATTGCCGTGGCAACAAATCGATAACAGAAAAGAGGAAATTTTTTTTCTCATTTTGAAGACAATTGTGGCTCACTCGTAACTGACCAAACTCAATTGCCATGGCAACAAATCGATAACAAAAAAAGAGTTTTTTTTTCTCATTCTCAAGACAATTGTGGCTCACTCGGAATTAAGGAATTAACCTAACTCAATTGCCATGGCAACAAATCGATAACAGAGAAAGGAAATATTTCCCACTCTCAAAACAATTGTGGCTCACTCGGAAATAATGCAAATCAATTGCCATGGCAACAAATCGATAAAGGAAAAAAAATTATTTTTCTTATTCTCAAGGAAATTGTGCGGTTTCTATGCTCATGTTGATCGCTTTTTTTTTTAAATAAATGGCTGTTTAAACGATCGGCTATTACTGATATGTTTTCATTTTCCTACCATTTGGTGCCAGTGAAGTCTTTTTTTTATAATCTGGATCGGTGCGAAGGCAGAAAGCTATTATCAAGATTTATATTGAGTTAAAATTTTCAATGAGAGCGATAGATTGCCTCGAAACTAGTCCATTACTCAAGTCGTTTCCACTGGGAAATTAGACATGAATTAAAGATGTGTCATGTCGTTAACGACCAAATCTAATTCTTTTGCATGTTTCCACAAGTTAGCAATCATAAGCTAAAATGTGTTGACATATGTAGCATCGACTCAATAGATAGGATTGACTAACCATAATATCACAAAAAAATTTATGATTGACAAATATGACTGTTTGTTGAGCTCGAAATGATAATAAAGAGGAAGTATCAAGTTAACATCCTACCGCCAAACCAGTTTAGGGGGAGGATGTTAACTTGGCTTCAGATCAAAATGATGCTATTTTCCGACCAATCAGAATTGAGAATACAAATAAAAATTTGTTCAAACGGCAAAGTGGCAAGTAAACATTTGACCGCTTATTTAACCGATTGCGCCATGAGTTTCAATGAGCAGAGTCTCCCTTGTTTGACAAATATTGAACTTTGTATACACACATTTAAAACTCTTGGCATATTAAATCGACAACAGAAACGCCCTAGTTTCAAAAAGACTATAAACTCGACAAAATATAAAAAAACTCCGGATAAATATGCCTGGAAAGGCCAAACAATCTCGCCAAATGGTTGCATATAATTTATCTTTGGAGCATACGAACACGAAATAGGCAAACTTTCCTTCAAACTGGCATATCAAAAACAAGTATTGTGAATGCCTTTGCTTGTCTTAGAGAAATTTGTGCTCGTTACTTACAAAAACACCCAATTCGACTTGGCGGGCCGGGTATTTTTGTCCAGATCGACGAAAGTTGCTGCTCTGACAAGCCAAAAAATCGCCGTGAAAGGGCGCCCGAATAAAAAGTTTGGGTATTTGGCATTGTGGACACGAGCTTCGGGCCTTCGGTTGGATTTATGGAGATTGTGAGCCACCGATACGCCGAAACTTTGTTGCCCATAGTTCAATCGGTCGTCGAACAGGGCGCAATTGTTCATTCTGACGAATGACGTGCATACGGGGCATTGCATAGGAAGGGATATACCCACAAGACCGCCAATCATTCGATTAGTTTTGTGGAAAGAGAAACCGGTATCCATACTAAAAATGTTGAATCGTATTGGGATACCAAAAAACCTTTGATAAAAAAAAATGATCGGACGTCATCGGGCTATTTTGCACTGGTATCTTTAAGAATATATGTGTCAAAATTGGTTCTATCGGCTCAATAACTGTTTCGATAAAATTTGCCTTCATATCAATAAATTTTTTCCAGTAAATTCTTAATTTTGTCAGTTAGAGTTTTAATTTTGATGAATTCTAATGTCAACCCGTACTGAGAAAATTCTTTAATTCTGTCAAGAAATACTTAATTTCTGATCTCAATTTCTGGTCAGGCATTCTTTGCAAAATGTTTAAATAAAGCATGGATTTTCTATAATACTTTATTTCTAATCCAATTTCTGGTCAGAAATTTTCAAAATCTAGGCTATTTCTAATCAGAAAAAGCTTTTTTCTAATCTAATTTCTGTTCAGAAGTTTTCTTAATCTGGGCTATTTCTAATCAGAAAAAGCTTTTTTTCTAATCTAATTTCTGTTCAGAAATTTTCTTAATCTGGGCTATTTCTAATCAGGAAAAACTTTTTTCTAATTTAGTTTCTGTTCAGAAATTTTCTTAATCTGGGCTATTTCTAAGCAGAAAATCCTTTTTTCTTATCCAATTTAAGGTCAATAACTTTCTAAATCTATGCTCTAGAACAGAATAAAAAACGCTTAAATAGGTTAAATTGCATCAATTGTCTTGATTAGAAACAAAAAATTTCATCGTTGGTTTTGTGTAATAGAGTTGCGCTAATTTAAAGTCGCGTCCAGTTTCTTTCTTTGCCAAATCCAAACTCTGCCAAACCCACACTCTGCCAAACCCAAACTTTGATCGATCTTTATTTGTTTCTCATACCAACAGCGTACAGCACATCCACTAAACAGTTGCTCACTACCCGTTTAGCCATCAGCCGAATGTTTCCTGATTTCTAAATGTGCGTTTCACCTTTATGCGATATATGACCTGAAACCCAGATTTAATTAGTTCAATTTCATTCAACACAACACGACAATGACTCAGAATTCCGTCAACTTAGACCTTTTTAAGCACTGGGAATCCAATAACAGTCCCAACGAAAACCACGCAATATGAGGCCATTAGGCCAACTTATCAAAGGCAAAAATTTTTAAGCGGAAAAAATGTAAAGAAAAAAAAAGAAACAGCTGAAAAAAAATTATTGCCATGAAAAACTACAAGGTTTTTTGGTTTCATTCAGAGTAGGAGCATAAGAAATATGTTTAAACTGAACGACTCAATTACTCAAATTTAAATCACTAAGCGATAACAGACAAGCCGAAATCATTTGAAAAGAAAAATTTTGAATCGAAAATTTGTGTTAACACAAATTTGGTTTTTTATTTAAAGTTTCACATTTGAAAAAGCGGGATTAAAGAAGGTGTGTTATCTAGGCCTCACTTAGAGATTTTAGCCAATCAAAATCGATTAGCTTACACGCAGTGCTAGAAACTTTATAGCTGAAATGACGGGGTGGTCGATTTTTATATGATCCAAAAAGTGAGATAATAACTTAAACTTCAATTCATTATGCAACTGAAAATGAACCTGAAAGCACGTAAAGAGCAGCAAATGAAAACATAAGAGTCTTTCCGTAAAACTTTGATTCTCTGCGAAGCTCGATGCCAACTATTAAATGTTTCAGCGGAACAAAGTTCGAGTTTCTTCATCTGCCGAAAAAAGTTGAAGGGATAATAATTTGCCACTGGTCGTTTGGAATAATCTTTTGAAGTGGCACTTCCAGATTGCCTGTTTCGTCATTCAACAAAAATCTCATATCCCACATTAAAACGTCTTATAGAATGAGCTTATACTGGTACTATAGTTTCAAACTCCATATCCTTAGGAAAAGTAATATCACCAGTGAAACATTGCTCTGAATTTGAGCTCAAGGCAACAATACCTTGAAAATGTTCCATCAAAAATTGATAGTTAAAAAGTAGAAATGTGTCACGAGGAAATAATACAGCCCGATTACAAACATTTTGTCATTTTCTTCGAAAGTCGCGGCTTACTAACAATTTTTTTAATAAATGACATTTATAATTTGATCAACGAAAAAAACTACAACTAAAAAAAACTATCTAGGTTGTCATCAAAAAAACTTTTTGCGTTGTTTAAATTAAATTTTAATTGCTCTAAAATAAAAAAAAACTTTGCAAGAAAACCAAAAACAATTCATATACACCGATTGGAATTACTTTTTTTAGAACGACAAAGTTTTTTTCAATTGCTTAAATTTATCTATCTAAAAATGAGTAAATTTAATCATTGAAGACACAAAATTAAAAAAGAACGTATTGCAACATTTTGAGATGATAGGTTGTCCTCATTTTGTTTTTTTTTCTACATTTTTTCTATTTAGGAATCATTGGATTCTGCTCGACGACGATTTTTAAAGCTCATTTGTGCTGTTTTCAAAGCTTGACAAGAATCGGTAGATGAGCCGGTTGATAGTAACACATCAGGTTTGCATTGAAAAGTCATCAGTTACGGGTTTCAGACACAATACTGCACACTCTTATGTGTTGCATGACGCAATCTCGCATCTTTTTGGCAAGATTTTGCCATATAAATTTGTCGACCACAATTTTAAAAAAAAAGATAGACGTAAATTTGAGTAAAATTTCCAGCGAACGGGATTTAAATCGTAAATATAGCAATATTTCGAGGCAGTTTGGCTAGAACAATGAAACAACCTGTGTCGAGGTCCCCGATTTTAAAAAACGATGCGATCCAAAAATGGAAAATTTAGGCTGCCTTATTTTATCTTATAGTTTTTCAAAAACGGCGCGAATGAAAAAAAAAACAACCGATGCGATCCAAGAAAATGGCTCAAAATAGGAAAGTGGTGCGACCAAAAATTCCAAAACTTGACCGCCGGCACGACCGAGAACAAACAGCCACGACCATATCCCTGAGTCTTTTTGTTTGGTCGGCCTTAAGTCGAAGCACCAGTCTTTTCCTAAGTCGCTCCGCCCGTATTTTTTAGGTTGCGCTTTCAGTCTTTTTAAAAGTCGCGCCAAAGGTTACACTAAGTCTAGGTAATATCCTTTCACCTAACATTTATTAGCTTCGGAAACATATCGGACTTCAGAAAATAGTTTGAGTCGCGTCACGACTTAGAAAAAGATTTTGATGCGCAACCTAATGTTTTTAAGATCAGACTGGGGGCTCGACCTCAGAAAAAAAGACTGACGGTGTGACTTGAACACAGATTTTGGAGGCGCGACTCAAGAAAAATATGTGGGTGCAACTTAAGAAAGACTGACGGTGCGACTTGAGAAAAGATGGACCAAAAATCAGTAGGTTTCGACCGTATCAATCAAATTTTGGTTTGTTTCAACTTTCTCGACCAAATTTTGGCATTTTTGACTTTCTCAACTCAACAAAAAATGTGTTCGACTTTGTTGGACCTAGTTTACATATGTTTCTCGACCAAAATTCGACATGTTTCAACTTTCTCGACTTATGTCCGATATGTTCCTCGACTTTCTCGACCTATGTTTTGACTCTCTCGACCAAAATTGGGTATGTTTCGACTTTTTGCTCGACTTAAGATTGCTTTTGGACCGCGGAATTTCAGTCGCAAACCTGCACTTGCTCGAAGTCGAAACATAAGTCAAGCGCCTCCAGCCGGGGTCGTACAGTAAAGAAGACACGTTAAAATTGCAGGCATTTTTGTTGGTCATAGCAGAGGAGCTAGCAAACAATGTTCCGTGATGGTAGATAACTTGCTTGTAAAACGAATCGTACACAACGTCGGATGCCTCCACCAATGCTGAAAAAGCATCATGACTGATTCATGAGGGTGCTTGCAATAAATTAGTAATTGAAAACTAGTCCGTTTTCCGCTAATTTTCTATATTGTTCAAAAAAGCGTATAGAATGTATACGAACAAATATCGAAGCTAGAAAATTTCCAAAAAGCAAGTTTTCAGTTGTCCTAATAATATTTTTCTTTCAAATTATTTAATTAATTTTAGCTCGATCTTCATATGCTTAATTTTTGGTCCAAGGCTTTCTTTTTTTTGGGTAGGATGCAGGTTTGAATGGGACCTTTTTGCTGAAACTCTATTTTGCTTTTTATTCAATTCTTCCTTAGATTACCTCTCATTTTTTTCTTTGCCGTCAAGAACTAATTGCCTGACTAGTTTGCGTTTGGACTGTAAATTTTTTAGTTTTGCAACACCTGTCATTGTTTGCTAACTCCTGAAACATTTCAAAGCACTTAAGTAATTGTTAGTACAAATCAACTTTGCTTCATTGTGTCATCAGATGATTTAATTTTTCAAATTTCGAGTTTCAGGAAGGTCAATGAAGTATAGCAGTAAAACCCGCTTTCCAAGAAATCAGACCTGCAGAACAACGTGTCTTATGCAGCATATTCGAGTTGATTCAAATTGAGGATGTGTATTGATTGGTATCCTTTTTCTTAGATATGACTGAAAAGGATAATAGTGTAGGCAAGGAAAAGTATATGAAAAAATTAGCAAATTGTAATAACTAAGGTTATCAAACTCTTTTTTGATTTTTTTTGCTGTAAATGTATCGTGGATGCATGAAAAAGTATGATTTCTAACTCCAAAGGTTTCAGCAGCAAAAACATGAACCTAAATGTAATAAAAAAAAACGAAACAGTTTTTTTTCAACAGTTTTTGCTCATTGTTAAGAGTAGACTACTTTGTCTGTGATTATTTGAACCTCGCAAAAAATTGTTTCATTAAAATGCAATGAAAAGAGCTCTTTAGCAAATACCTGGATAATTTTTACACACTATTTTTTTATTAAGCAGTTTCTGGAATTAAACTTAGCTGAGTTTATTTTTTATGTCATTATGAACAGTAGGTGAATTGTTTTTTTATTCAAAAACATTAAAAGTTTCAATTTTATGTATAGTATAAAAAAAAAAACGATTTCATTTGACGGGAGAAAAAATTGCTGTAATTATCATAGTTGAGCACTGATCAACAAGGTGCCCCGAGAGATGAAAACAAATACAATTGTGTAAATTCCTTCAAATGAGCTTCAAAAAAATTTCAGTTTGTTTTTTTTTGTGAAAAACTCCATTACAAGTGAGTCAGATTTTTGAAAACCAAAACTTTATTCTTCAAAACAGCTAAAGCTCTGCGTCAAATAAGTTATGAATCAAGAAAAACTAACACAATCTAATTTTAGTTCATTTAAACATTAATGCAATTAATATAACATCAAAAAAGTTTTCGAACAACAATAACCGAAACTATTAGAAACAAATTACAATATTACCTAATGTATTACCTCATATTACCTTTATTAGGAAAAACTGGGTCCAACAAAACAAACAGTAAATATTGCAGTATTGAAAATAATACACAGACAAAAAACCATTGTCTTAATTGTTTATTTAACGACCCAATTCTAAATTGGAGCGTGCCATTTAAATTAAAGCCTCTTTTCACTAAATCAGATATTGACTGATTTACTCTTATTAGGACTATAAAATCTTGTTTTGAAAATCCACTCCTTTTTAA